CGCTTCCTCTCTCTTGGATTCTCCCACCCCCTCAGAAAAAAATGTATGTTGATCGGTTAATTGCTCCTGAATAGGCGGAGAAAGCTTAAAAATTAGCAAAGCACACAGAGCTCTCAATGATACCATTTATTTTATTGTGCTTAAGTCAAGATTAAGTGGTTAAGTGATCTTCAAAACAATTCACATTGATCGTAAATCTTGTACCGGCGGTCAAACTTTGATATTGAGGGAAGCAGCATGACTTCGAGCCATTTTTCGAAGAAAGAACTTTGAATTTTCAAAATAATTGATTAAATTTCGCCGGTGATGGCTGTAGCTAGCAAAAAACAAGACTCCAAGGTTTAGTCCTGGTTAAGGAAGTCCATTTAGGTAGCCCATAGGGGTAGTCCATTGACAAGGGGTCGGTGTTTTTTCATCACCCGTGATTTATCACCTAAAGCAATTCTGCTGTATGTGTGATATGCACGCATGACGGTCGAGTATTAGCTTGCTTTTAATATCCCATTCCCATATTCAGTTTTGCATGGCAAAAGCATGTTTATGCCGAGGAAATATTAGCTTTTCAATAGAAAAGTTGGGTGGGGGTGTACAGCCCACCTCCCAAAACCCTTAACCTATTTATGACCAAAATTTGCGATTTTTGCTACCCTATTTATGACCTGGCCAAAAATTTGATACCCTATTTATGACCGTTGCCGCTGGCACAGTTGCCTTAAACATAGGTTATAAAGGGCTTTTGTCGATGGTCTTATTAATGATGATGAAAACGTAGCTTCTTCCAAGAAACATACCAATTCAAGACTAGAGTGCTAAAAACATACCCTATTTATAATTATGACCAAAACGTTTGAAAAACCATACTGGGGCCGCGCATACATATGTAGCCCATAATAGGGAGTATCCCTCCCCCGGGGGTCAACAGCGCGTTAATTTAACAGTGGAAAAAACACCATATTGATAGTGATTTAAAAACAAAAATACAAAACAGTGAAAACCGTAGTTAGTAGACGAGACCTATATTATTTGCCAGTTTTTATTGAAGTTGATGTCCTTCAGTGGCTGCCTCTGAAGTGTCATATCAGCCACATCTGCCACGGTTTTCCATCCCTCGGCATCACTAGCACTGCATACGTTGTTGGTTGGGTTGGCAGGGTCCAGAACAAATGGTGGGCTGCGTGGAAGAAGACAGTGTTTCAGTCCAGTATCATGCTGTTAAATGAAATCTGTCAGTCGCTGTCTCTCAGACTCTCAAKYKCTGTATGTTTTTTWAYTGWTTGMCTGAYTWACTCCTGATTGTCTCTGTCTGCCTGTCTGTAAGCCTTTCTGTCTGYCTGTTTTTCTGACTGGGTGGCTGATTGTATCTCTATCTGACTACTTGACTTTCGCTCCACCATYCTTTGKCTCACTTACTATCTGTCTGTGGGTGTCTATCATAACTATMTGAAYGTMWAWRAATGKYAAAGAATGGTAWAAATGTGGGATGTGGCTTAATATGTAAATCAAAGGAAAAAGGGTCAGCTGATAGCCACAAGATGCACACTTAGGCGACAAAGGTAGAACAGCACTGGGCTTTTTTTCTACAAAAAATGTTGAACCTAGTGCTGTTCTACCTTTATCGCCTTAGCGTGCATCTCGTGGCTGTCAGCTGACCCTTTTTCCTATGATTTATCTGAATTTCATTTAGGCTGTCTTCCTTCCGGTGGGGGCTCCCATATTAAATCGAGAGGGTGATTGTCGAAAATTTTGGAAACAACCCCTAAAATTAGTTTTGTGGGTGTGGCCCAAATTCATTTTCACTGCTAAATGGTACCAATCTTAAAACAACTCGTTAATGTTAAGTGACATTTTCACCATTTCATTACAGCAATAAAGAATATCACAAAATTTGACTGGCAATTGGTTCCTGTCACACTTCCCTGCTCAGCACAGTAAACGCTACCGCGATAACTCTACCAGTGGTCATCCTTGATTTTAGCACCCTAAAAGGTATCAGTTGACAAATTTGACCCCCTAAAAGGTACGATGATCACCCCATCGCTTTTATATGGGCATCTAACCCGGCCGCCTGGGTCTTGCTTGCCATTTTCCCTGTACAGGAACAAAAACGAACCTTTTACTCATCTTGAATCCTCTCTCAGCGAGAGCCTCATCGTAGTATTTATGCCAAATGACGTGTATGTGGCAATTATCAACCAACCGTTCAAGAACAGCTTTAAAGCCGGCCCGAATGTCAAATGATGTTTTTCCAGCTGCGTTCTCCCAACAATCTATGGTGATGAGCTCCAGCGGATATGAAGATGGCAGTCTAGGTTTGCCAGTGCTTTTGTCTTCAACGCAGGTTTTGCGCCAGTATTTTACAAGGCGGATTAAGTCTTTCACTATCTGCGGTTGATCCTTGACAAACGTCTTTTGTAATTTCACCAAATGTGCTGAGTAATAACCCTTGTCTTCTTTTTCACACTCAATCATTTCTTCGTACAGTCTGTACCGTTGTTCTGCAAAGTGCAAAAAAAATACACATTCTAATTACCTTGGCTTGATTCAACATGGACACTTACACAGCTAATTCAAATGGTTCAAAAGTTTATGTATTCCCCAAAACAATGAAATTGCAATCAAATAGACTTCATTATGGACTATAAACTGCAACAAGCTGCAGGGTCTGTGGGCTGGCTGGCCAAAAGGAGACTGTCTCTAAATGGCTGACAAATAATGGACTCGTATGGAGGTTGGGTTAAAGGGAGATTAAAATCCTCTTTTACCTCGACTTTCAAGATCAGTTGTTGTAAATGTCGGCAGCAAGTCAATGTCAAATTCTCGACTCGGAGACAAATCCGGGCGAAGTTTGAATTTCACGGCGAAGGGTGTCCGTCCATCAAAGATGATTTGGTGTTTATGGGGACTCTGTTTGAGGCATGACTCCAGGCAGTCCTTTGTTTCCGGCAAATTACGTTTATGCTCTTTCATGGTTTTCACATTGTTGAGGAAAAGCACACAGTCGATGTCTGCTTTGTCCTTGACAGCTGTTTTCTTTCCAAAAGAGCCTCCCTGAATTGTGTTGAAAGGACAAGGGATATTTATTAACAAAACAGCATATCTTGAAAAAAACCCAAAGGGCTGAATTGATGCCAGAGCAGGATTTAAACCCCCGGGGGGGGGGGTACTTTGGGAATTTCTGGGTGGGGATGTGCCGCTGGGACCCTGGAACCCTTAGCCTATACCAGAGCTAGTTCAGCTGAATTTTGCTACCCTATACTAGAGTAAACTCCCCGAATCCCCCCATCTATCTACACTATTGAGGCTGATTTGCGTAAATTTAAACTTGCCGATTTGATTTTTTTTTTTTTGAGGGGCAATTCCTGGTTTTCTTAGTCTAGATAAAATCTTCAACCAACTAGTCAGTTTTGGGAAAAATGATACCCTATTCTAGATCTAGACGCTCTGATTTATATACCCTATCCTAGAGTAAACTGCTTGAAAACCATACCCTTCACAGCGGCACATACCTATATTGCCCATTTATGGCAGTGGCCTCCCCCCTCCCTGGGATTTAAACCCAGGGCCATTACATGCAAATCCCGCACCCTAACCACTCGGCCATGCTGCCTCCCTGAAGAAATGTATGAAATTAATAAGTTTTCTTTATCCTAGCCCTTACAAAAATAACCCTATTTTATTTCCATTTTATGGCTATTTTAATGCTATCACATTTATTTTTGTCCTGTTTTATCCTTGCAAATTTCTAATTTATTCCTAGTTTACCAGATGAAGAAAATAGGGCTTCTGTTTTATTTGTGTTTGACATTTATTTTAAACCTATTTTTAAGCAAGATAGAACAGAGGGGGGTATTTTATTTCTATTTTTCCATAACATCCTGAATAGCCTGCAAAATAGGCTATTTTAATCCTATGTTATATTCTTAGATCAGTGTTCCTCTATAAAACAGTGATAAAATAGACTGTTTTATCTCTATTTCCCTTTGGGTAGCAAAGGTGATGACTTGCTCCTTTGCAAAATAGACGTAAAATAGGCTATGAAAATCCTATTTTTATCTGAGTCCACTTTGACTAATGACAAAATAGCTATAAAATACACTATTCCATTCCTGTTTATGGACACTGGTTTAACCCCTGTCTCTTTCATTGCAAAATATGTATAAAATATTCTATTTCAATTCTGTTTTTATCCCAGGCACACAAATAGTATTTAGAAATGGCATTTTGTATTATTTGTCAATTCAAGATTCACTAAATTGTTTCCATGTAAATAGTGATTTTCAGGCTACAAAAACTTCAGCAATGAATCTACAATTCCATTAGCAATGTTCAAACTACAGTATATGGGGGCTTAATAATTTAATAAGTTTGATTATGGAAATCTGGCATTTGAGAAGCTCGAAACAACTATTTATGTTGGTATTCAGTTTTCCTTTAGAAACATACATTACAAAAAAGTTAGTTTTCCTTTAGAAACACAGAAGGTTGAATGAGAAAGACATGACAATCACATGCCACATGAGACTTCTTCATAAACAGTACAGTGCATTTCATGCTTCTCACAAGTAGATAGTTTTAACTCTGTAAGAGTAAAATGACTTGGGATAATTATACTCTTCTTCAAATGATGTCTGAACACTTTCCAGCCTGTGTCAGGCCTCTAAATTCAGTAAAAAGCCGAGCTTCTTCTGTGGAATGTATGAACCGCCATCTTGGATTTGAATGTTGATAAGACCCTGGGAACGAATTGCTATAACCCATGATGCAATGCTTTGAGAAAGGCGCGCGTTTCAAAGGTCAGTGAGTGATTGAAAGTTTGAAGATGTTTGGATGCCACAAAATCTGGATCTTTTGGCTCTGCAAGAGATTGTAAGTATTAAGAATCACAAGGCTTCTGGATTAAGACTCAAGATGGTGTTTTTGATGATAAGTACTCCAATGATATTTACATGTGTCACTAAACTTTTTCTTGGCCATGTCCTGCAGAGTTTTGGATCTTTGTCTTTCTTGGGTCTTCCTTGTTGTATATTTCAGCTTTTCTGTATTACAATCATAACTTAAACAAAAAACAGTTTAAAGCTTGTCAAAGAAGTTGATCTGAAATCGTGTTTCTGTTTTGAGCAGTTGCCTTCAGGGGTCAAACAGAACACAACTTATGATCTGATTTTAATCACATCTTGTGTGCTTCTGTACTAGTTATTGAAGCAGAAAAGCTTGAAGTACAGAATCACTAACAGACCTACATGGTTAAAAAGCTAAATGAAGAACAATTCTCAAACATGAGTGATGACATTTTCACCATATATCTCTGTCATAATCCGTTGGACCTCATGGAAAATGCACTGTAGTCTTGACTTGAGTGCAAAACTTGCAATAACTTTGTATTTTGAACAAAGATGTCAGTGTAAGCCTGTAGAACACATAAAGAAACCCTTCAATTTTAGCAAATAAAATGAATTATGAACAGAAACGAGATGTTCCAGCTGGTCTTTAATCTGGTGTACGCTCCACCCTTGGATACTGGACAAAAATCTTAGTGTCTTAAGTGTAAATAATTGGAAGGTTAATGTTGATGAGTCATTGTATTTTCAATTGGTGCTAGCTATTATTTTGTTTCGATTGCCATTTACTTAATTTAATGGGCCAAATTTATTAATGTCACTGGTTTTTTTTTATAATTCTGAACCTTTGACCTGGCTTTATATGTACCGGTATTACAGGTAATATGGCTATTTTAAAGCTATTTTAAGCCTATTTTCCGAGGCAGTTCCCTCTTCATCCCAATTTTATCCCTGTTTAATTACTATTGTAATGCTATTTTCAGCCTATTTTATTTTCAACTTGTTTCAATTATACTATTTAACGTCATTTTCTCATCAAGTTGCATTGGCATTATTCACTATTTTAAGGCTATTTTAAAGCTATTTTAAAGCTAAGTTTTGCTCAGCACTCTGGACTATTTTTTGGCTATTTTTTATTTCAAAATCATAGGTTTAAAATAGGTAAAAATTGCTTTAAAATAGTCCAGAAAAAATAGCAAAAAAAATACAAAAATGATAGGAATAAAACAACATATAAAATAGGTATGAAATAGATCTAAAATAGCTGTTTGGGATTAAACTCGACACTACATTATGACCACTGAAAGTCCAAATAAGCAAAATACCTGCAAAATTATGCTCCCACAATGCAGAAAAATACATTTCTGAGAGCAAAGTCAGTTCTCAAAATCTTGCAGTAAAACTCAGGATATAGAGAATAACCCTTACGTGTCTGTCAACTGAGTTTGTCCTTAATTTGCAAAATTAAATTGTCCCCTACAAACCAATTTTATACCGTGCAATTTGATTTTTATTTGCTTTCTGACAAACATATTTTTGAGATTGCTGTCCTAGTCGTGTTTGGAACAGTTGCATCAAAATGAAGTAAGAAGTTAGAATAAATATGATTTTGTCTGTTTACTACATTTGCATTAATTTTATTCATGTACTTCATAAGCGAAATATTTTGAAGACTAGCACTTCCTATTGGAAGTGAAATACTACCTGACTTTCCCCTGGTTACTATAGCACTATCATAGCAGAGATGGGATTTTAGAAAAACTCAATGGTGATTTGCGTCAGCAAGTAAGCTAAATTAAACACAGCACTTAATCAAGTGAAACTTTTTGCCTTAAGCTGAGACATTTACCGCATTGCTCCCTTTGGTAATTTTAAAGTACTTAGGACAAAGAGGTCATTTTACAGTTCTGTGCTTAGTTACCTAGCTCATTGCTGCAAGCAAGGCTGAAGATGACTTGACTTTGATACAGACCTCTACGCTTTTATTTTTTAAATGCCAACTAGTAAGATATAAGAACAAATTGATTTACACAACAAAACCAGTGAGGTCTTTATCAAAACAAGGTCACCTCCAGCCTCGCTGCCATTCAGAGGCCAGGTCACTGAGCAGACAACTGTAAAATGGTCTATTTTAGAGAACTGCAGTCATGGATTCATTTGATAAAATTTGCCTTGCACAGCATAGAACAGATTATTCTTTGCAGTGCAGTCAGCCTATTCAGGAGGATAATTTGGCTTAATTGGGAAAGCAAGTTTCCAGAATTCACTGCAGGCGGTTATTTCATCATGGCTGCGAAACAAACAGATAAATTAATAAGCCAATTAATAAGCAAGAGGCTTGAAAAAAGCATATAAATATTTAGGAGCAGTGCATGTTGGTGCGGTGTGCTTTCCTCACGAACCTCAACCCTACATGCAAGTACTTCATTGAGTTGTTCAGTCTGTGCTGACCATGCAGATCAGCAAGAGATTGTGAACAATTGAATGTCGACCAACACCTTCCCTCTGTGCATATGTGGACAAACTGGTCTGCTGCCATTATGGAATAGTGTTGTCTCAGCTTGCATTTTCACCACTCAGAAACGACAACTATAAGGCTTTGAAAAATCTTATATGGCAATCTAGATATCTTCAAAACCCCAATTAGTTTTGTCTGGGTAAAAACTTATTCTGCTGCCTCATGAGAGAAATGGGGTGGGAGGGAGTGGGGTCACATATTTTTAGTACTTTCACTTTTTTGAAACTTAACTTTGAAATTCCACTTTTAATACCCTCACCTCTTGGCACATTAATTTATGAACATTTCCTTAGATATTTAACATTCAAGACACATTAGGCTGTGACTCTTACCTTAACGAGGTTTTGTATGCTGAAAGGTGAAGGCAGATTTTCTTGGAGGTGTTTGTACAGTAGGTCTACAGCCTTGGAAACTGCCTTCCTGCTGGCCTTGTCAAGTCGGAGTTCCTTAGTAATGAAGTCATCAACAGCAGAGCACTCACTGAAGTCCACATTTTTAAAAAATGATTCTGAAATAATGGAAGGAGCACACAGTTAGCCAGCCCACTTTAGTGCTGTTGGCTGTGTCGTGTGTGTTGTGTGTTACGTGTTGCTTGATGTACTGTCTTGCAGGCTAGGTACTAAAATTTGCCCCCCCCNGTGCTGTTGGCTGTGTTGTGTGTGTGTTGTGTGTTACGTGTTGCGTGATGTACTGTCTTGCAGGCTGGGTACTAAAATTCCCCCCTGCTCCCTCTCCTTCCACCTTCCTGCCTCGTTTCCGCTGTCTTGTGGAAAAGACAAGAAAAAGAAAAGGGCAAAATTAAACAACTTGTACAAAAAGCTTTCTATTCACATAACCATCAAACTATAATATTAACATATGACATTGACCATTCCAGTACTGATATGTATGAGTTATTGACCAAGTGTGAGGTCAAGATGGTTGGATATTGGCCAAGTTCTTTTTTTGCGTGTTTATGGACCGAGACGGAGTCGAGGTCCATAAACTCGCAAAAACAGAACAAGGCCAATATCCAGCCATCTTGACTGAACAAGCTTGGTCAGTAAAGGATTTATTATATGGCTTTTGGGGAAATTTTTCTTGCGGGACACGGCGGGTAGTCCAGGGTGGGCAAGATAGCTCCATCTTGCCTGCTCTGGTAGCCAATCACAGAGTAGGATTTGATTCATCTTGCCCACTCACAGAGCTAGCCATATAATAAACATATTTATGATATATTCATGACAGCTTGAACGCAAGGCTTTTTAAAAAGGAATTAAAACAAAACAGACGAAATCAATAATTTTGATATCTTCCATCCTCGATATTAATTTATTATTCTCACTTTTACCATTTTGTCAGTAGCACGTTCAGCTCAGTTTGCAAAGTTGCATGAATGATGTGCATATTTTGCAACCGTTTGTATACAGTGTTGCATGGGTTTCAGTATGAAATGGAGAAACTCAGACAGTGCAGTTTTTCTCTCGTTCCAATTCGTTTTCCAAGAAAAAGTTGGATCGACTAGAACAACAACACGTTCACTGGAACAATACATCCATACCACAAAAGGTTATAACTGGTCTAGTGGCATGGGTGGCACTCTCCTTTCGTAACTCTTTTTTGGTTTTTCAAAGAGAGCAATAACAACTGATTCCAAAAAACAAGTAATTAGAATGGTCAGGCTCCAATTCAACAAAATCTTTAAACTTAAATGCCTCCTCAGGTGATCTGGAACGAGAGACAATTCAGAAAACTACTTTGTCTATTTCCCGGAATTGTACCTTTAGGATTTAATGTTTTGCATATAAATTAGATCTGTATTCCATTTATAAAAAATGAAACAAAACCATAATTGTCAAGCCATTTAAGTAAAGTGCTTTGGTTGATTTTAGTTGATATTAAGAATGAAAGTTGTGAAGTTGCACCTTCAGCCTACAGAATTATCACTTGGTGTATTTGCTATAAAGCACGCAAGTTCAAAAACACTACCAAAGTATGCACCAAGCTAGGCCACGTTTGATCTCCCATGTGCTATCTGGAATTATGGCTTTTCGAAAAGTAGCTGTCCATGCATGTCCTAGTAAGTTGACTCTTACAAATGACTTTGCAGCTTATAAACAAAAGAACATCGTGTATTCGCAAAACACATGCACCTTGGAAATAAAATGGAGTTCTCGCTAATTCGTTGGGGTTTGTCCATAAAGGTTGGCCTTTCAACCCTTTTGAAGGATAAAGTTGTTTGTGGTTTGAACGGGCCGAAAATTATTGTTAAATCGCATAGATAAAAGTCTTGAATCAGACGTGGGGGACAGATTTCCATACAACTGTATACTTATAATATGCATACGATTCTCTCCGTACATAATTATTCACAACAAAGTTATGCTCACATACAGCAATCATGAATTACTATCTCTAGAGACTCAGATAACAATGGGACGTAATGGCAGATGGTGGTCAAAACAGTGACAGCTAATTAGAATTCCTGATCACTATCTGGGCGGCGATGACGTAACGTGAAAACACGGAAGTCGCAAACTTGCGTGCATAATAAATGTATGGCACTGTGCGGATATCTTTGCTCTATCGGAACACCAGAACGTTGTTCCCCAAGTTGGATGGATCGCAAAGTTCTTTTGACACCTTTCGAATGGATCACCCGCTTTTTTTGGAAAATTTTTACGGGTCACAATTTATCACATTGCTTTATGCTTACCTATTAAGCTCAAGCTTTTATGACATCCGTTCCCATGATGGTTATTCAAATCATTCTGTCCCACGAACCTTTCCTGGCAAGGAGAACATGACAGAGGACAGCGCTCCTTATGGAACTTTCTGATATGTAGACGTAACTTGCGCACTGTCTTAGAACACTCTTGAACACAACATTGCACACGTATTCCCCGAGTTCCCGGCCCTGTGCCTCTCGCCGACATAACGCGCTGTACATCATCTTCGATGGTACTCTCCGACATAACTTAAAATCTTGTGTTACGAAAGACTAACCAACGGCACAGGTGCTTTCTCAATTTTGAGAGGACCTCTTTGGGAATTTTCCCTAAATCATTTTGAGCCAATCAACTTTTGCTTTACGTAAACTTTCTTTTTTGACCAGCCAATCATTGCCGACTTACCTGCATATCATTTTCTTCAATGCTCATGCATACATAATCAATTTAATGTGGACCCCATGCCAAATAGACCAAAAAATCTCCCTGTCTTCTTTTAGAACTAAACAAGAAGATCTTTTAGATCTTATAACCGCGCTTTTAAAATTTAACTGTTTTCTTGGCACTACAGTCGCCGCGCAGCGCACATTCCAAAGATTCACACGAGTCACATAATTCAAGAATATCGTTATCCACGGCTATCTTCAGTACGGTGGTTATTTCCCTACCAGTGACGTAATCCTCGCACGTTCTGACACGTTCTTTGCTTGGCTTGCAAATACTTAATTTTCCTTCCGATCTCCGAACTCGCTTCAATAAAACAGCACGACAATTCACTTCTCTTGTCTAAAAATACGGAAATTACTCGGAAAATTAAAGACTTTCGCTCCTGGCGAAATAAAAGTTCAAAACAAGCACGACCTTATTCAACACGCTGCCCAAGAGAAAGTTGCAACGTCGACACATTCCATGAATGACGTAATTGCTTTTCATCAGGACGTAACATGTCAATAATTTCGATAGTCGATAAAAATCGATCGTTGTTGATCGAATTCGATACTAATCAATCGACAAATATGGGATTTCGATAAAAATCGATCACACGATTTCTTGTGATTATCGACTTTGATCGAGTTTGATTTTTAGTTCCTTATTCAACTTTATTGCCATACAGATTTACTTTACAGCTGTTTACACTTCTATAATTTCGTGGCCGATTGAGAAATGTGTCTACATTTTTGTTGATAAAATCGATAATCAGTTAAAAATCTTATGATTATCGACTTTTATCGACAAATCAAACTTGTCGATTGACAATTATCGACAAATATCGAGTACTATCGACTTATCGACTACATTTTCGATGATCAACTTTGATCGACATGTTACGTCCTGTTTTTATGTATTCAATACTCGCTTCGAATCAGCCGCTTCAATAACACAAACAGGCGATATATTTTGCACTAAATAAAGAGTAGAATATTCATAAAATTTTCAGTACATTTAACGTTTTACTCTAGTAACAGCTTTTGGCGAATAAACATCATTAGTTGCGTGATTCGAAGTCCCAATCGTGATTTGGCTGAGTGCAAGTTTGGGTCTGGTCAAAAACATAAACCCGCGCTCGGCCTATGACCGCGTAGTCGTTTTTGGGATGTCACGCAACCCTCCCCCCAAAGACGGGGGGGAGAGTTGCGTGACATCCCAAAAAACGGCTGCGGAGGAGAGTAATGACCACACGGTTAAAAAAAAAAACAAACCCCGTGCACAACAAGAACCGCCGCGCGGTTAATTACTAATTAATTAATTAATTGGTTAAAAATCGCACAGGCCACAGCTCCTGAATACATCTGAAGTTTAATAGCATCTGTTTACTGTCGCTTTTTTCCACGCACTATTACTTGGGATAAAATATTGATGCCTTTTCCAGGCGTCCAGGGTTTTATTTAAATGTCGTTTTCATACAGATTCTGTGATGAATGTTTTACATTGAAACAGTGATTTGAGAACCCATTGCATGTTGCGACAGTTAAAATGTAGCATCATCCACCTTAATCTATGTTTGAAGCCAGAATGGTGTGTGGAGGTGGTGTAATACCTCTGTGAATTTTTGGCTTGAGGTGTGCTATTGGGACTCTGAAACCATTTACTTAGCAGAACATTTTCAGATGCATATGAGAACCATATTGTGTTGTTCCAGAAAATATCTGCACTCCTCCCTAGGAAAGTTTCATGGTTTGGATCCCCACCTTCACCCCCACCCCCACCCGTCTGGAAATCCCATATCAGAAAATGTTTACCTTATAGAGGTTATCATCCTGGGAAGTTTCATGCTTTTATCACAAAATGAACAATGAAGGTTAGTTTTGGCTCTTAACAGCAGGACTAGTTCGAGTGCAGTACAACAACACTAACGAGAAAACTATTGATTTAGGGCACTGAAACTGCCTGAAATATTTCAGTGAGCAGTCACGTGTGCAGTATTGAAAGAGATCGAAACGATCGAAACTTCTCAAAGGTATTGATACTTTTTAAGGAAACGCCAGTATCGATGATATCGAGTATTTGGTATCGGTATCAGTCCACCCCTATTTATGACCTATGAATGTCTTGAACCTAAATTATTTGCCAGTTTCCATTGAAGGTGATGTCCTTCAGTGGCTGCCTCTGAAGTGTCATATCAGCCACATCTGCCACGGTTTTCCATCCCTCGGCATCACTAGCACTGCATACGTTGTTGGTTGGGTTGGCAGGGTCCAGAACAAATGGTGGGCTGCGTGGAAAAACACAGCATTTCAGTCCAGTATCATGCCGTAAGCGACACTGACATTACTCATATTACTAAGATTATTTCTGATTACTAAGACCGTGTTTCTTAAGCAATCTCTCATTGTTTCTGCTTAACGTTCTTCTTGGTATGTCTAATGTCTGATGACACTGTCTGCATGTGTGGCTGTCTGTGTGTCTACCCCCAGCTGTCTACCTTTGGGTTAAATGAAATTTATCAGTCACTGTCTCTCAGACTCTCAAGCTGTGTATTTTTAACTGATTCACTAACTAACTGACTGTCTACTTTCTGATTGTTTGCCAATTTACCTGATTGTCTCCGTCTGCCTGTCTGTAAGCCTTAATCTGTGCGTCTGTTTTTCTGACTGGGTGGCTGATTGTATCTCTATCTGACTACTTGACTTTCGCTTAGACAGATAGTAAGTGAGACAAAGGATGGCGGAGCGAAAGTCAAGTAGTCAGATAGAGATACAATCAGCCACCCAGTCAGAAAACAGACATACAGATTAAGGCTTACAGACAGGCAGACAGAGACAATCAGGTAAATAGGCAAACAATCAGTAAAGTAGGGGGGGAGGCTCCCATATTAACGTGAGAGGATGATTGTCGGAAATTTTGAAAACAACCCCTTAAATTAGTTTTATGGGTAAGGCCTAAATTCGTTTTTACCCCTAAGAGGTACCAATCTTAAAACAACTTGTTAATGTTGAGTGACATTTTCACCATTTTGTTATAGCAGTAAAGAATAACACAAAATTTGACTGGCAAATGGTTCCTGTCACACTTCTCTGCTCAGCACAGTAAACGCTACTGCGATAACTCTACCGGTGGTCATCCTTAATTTTAGCACCCTAAGAGATATCAATTCACAAATTTGACCCACTAAAAGTTACGTTGATCACCACCATCACCTTTTATATGAGCATTTCCCCCATCCCCCGCCTGAGTCTTGCTTGGATTTTTCCTGTACAGGAACAAAAACAAACCTTATCTTCATCCCCTTGATTCCTCTCTCAGCGACAGCCTCACTGTAGTATTTATGCCAAATGACGTGTATGTGGCAATTCTTGACCAACTGTTGAAGAACAGCTTTAAAACCGGCCCGAATGTCAAATGATGGTTTTCCAGCCTTCTCCCAACAGGCTATCGTGATGAGCTCCAGCGGATACGAAGATGGCAGTCTAGTTTTACCACTGCTTTTGTCTTCGATGCAGGTTTTGCGCCAGTACTTTACAAGGCGGATTAAGTTTTTCACGCTCGACGGTTGAACCTTGACAAACTCAATTTGTAACCTCACGAAATGTACTGAGTAATAACGCTTGTCGTCCGTTGTACAACGAATCATTTCTTCGTACAGTTGTTCTGCAAAGTGCAAAAAAACACACATTCTAATTAACTAATGGCTTGATTCAACTTGGACACACACACAGCTAATTCACATGGTTCAAAAGTTTATGTATTCCCCGAAACAATGAAATTGCAAACAAATAGACTTCATTATGGCAAGAGGCCATGATCTGCAACAAGCTGCAAGGAGGCTGGCCAAAAGGGGACTGTCTCTACATGACTGACAAACAATGGACTCATATTGAGGTTGGGTTAAAGGAAG